TTTGTTGGCATTGTCTACACACCAGACTGCATAAAAAGAGGAAGGCTGCCTGGCTAAACACGCTCTTGGTGCCTAAAAAGAATCACAGTTGTACTCCATTGTATGAAGCATACCTCCTCCTTTAATATATTTTCTTAAAAACAAAAGACCGAAATGGCCCTCACTCCACTCACCTATGTCTTTATTATAAAGTTTGCCCTCTGTATTGGCCCCTGTGCATTAAAGGATGAGAAAAAAACAGCAAAAGTTTGTAACACAGTGTAGCAAGAGCTAGTTTAATTTATACTGAATAGTCAATACTGAAGATTTTTTTGAACAAACAGCCATGGAGGGATCATCCAATTCCAATATCTGCATAAAAGCACCCCAGAACAGCTTGGTTGCCCCATGAGCAGATGTCTAGTTCTACCTGGAGTGTCTCATGTGACACTAGAAATCCCAAGGCAGGTGACATGGGACCTGTGCAGGAGCTGTGCCCCTCTACAGTCTCAGCTATCAAACAGCTTTAGATATCTCTGATGGAAAACTCAGTTGAGTCTTCAGTATCTGTAGAGATGTGTAGGTAATACTAGTTTCCTCTAGTTGTAAATGCTGAGATAACCTTATTTCTTAAATGATGTGATCTGTGTGTGAAGACAGAGGCTATTTTGCTCTTTTCAAATTGTTTTAGCATTTGATTGCAATACATATGTTCTTCTTTCAGTAGCAATTTTAGATTGCTCTAAACAAGTTAATTGTATTTCACAACACCCTTGTGCATTAGAGAATTATTAATATTCTTATTTTGCAGTCAGGGAAAAAGAGAGGAACAGGCAGATTAAGTGACTCTTCAGAGGTTAAACGGTAAATCACTGGCAGAATCTGAGGAAGATCCTGATTCTCCACCAGAGCTTGATTTCTCCACAGACCATTAATTCCCACACTAAATACTGAGATGATGATAAATGTGTGATCTTCGGGTCCTAAACTGCAGAAAAGAATCCTACACAAAAGATATCTTTGTGAAAGGACATGGGTAGCCCTATCAAAACTTCAGAGTTCCAAATGGTCAGTGTACAGACACACATACAGCTAAAAATTCTAAGGGTTTTGACAAACTGTATCATTGCAGGGAACATATCGTCAGAGCAGAGTTTAAAATTGGACTCTTTCATCTGCTCATTAAAAACATCAACAAGATAAACACACCTTCCTTGGAAAGGACATCTACCAGCAACCTGCAAGTCTTGGCATTTGCGGTCTTGGGGCAAATACTTTGGGCTAATTTCTGAGCATATCGGAAAGAGTCCTGTCTATCCTTCTGCAAGACAGGAAAATTCCTCCTAGACAAACAAGACAAATTAACATTTCACTTTAGAAAATCAGCTCTTTGAAGAAACACTTTCAAGGCTATTTTCACATAATCTTAAAGTGTTCTTAAAACCATCTTTTGCCATTGCATAAACTGGAGCTTAGCTCCAATATGTGTGCCATTTCAGTGTTTTTTTCTCCAAGGAAACAGCAATTTAAGCAAATAATAAGATAATAACTATATTGTTGTAATATCCAAATGTTTCAGTCAGGATGAGGGACCCAAAGTGTTTTAGGTTCTGTATAAAAATATATGTGCAAAGAGTTTATAAGCTATTTTAAATGAGGGCAACAGGTTGGTTTAACAAATAGTGGGAGGAGTGTGGGCATAAGAAACGATGAGGAAAACAATTACAAGAGTTACTGTCTTCATGGGCTGCTATAAATCCAGACTTATATTCAGAGACAATTAGGTGGGAATTTGTATAATATATGAAACCAAAAACCTGGTCACTCTCTATTTTCAATGAGAACTGGATTGCCTGAATTATCCCAAATGAAAGAATCAAAAATTGTGAGCAGTTGATTAAATATTTTATGACTATACATCCAGGCTGATATTCTCTTTTATACAAATCTCAGCCATTTAAAAAAAAAAAAATACACGAGGCCAGATAGCGTGAGATGCTGTACCTTACTCAGGTATTCAATGACTTTTGGGATGGAGTTTGATCAGTTTAGGAATGGAATTATATAGTTCGATTTCATGGGGTAGTAGGAGAGTTAACTGTATTCCAGGTTCATGAAATATTGCTTTATCTAGAAAGCACACACAACACATACAGGAACAACACAAATATTCTCCATACCCAAGATGAGTGGGTACCACACAACAGAATAAAAGCACAGTTCAGCCTCTATGCCCTATCATTCTTGAGAATGATCTAATGGCTGAGAAATTAACCTCCAATTAGCTGTCTGTCAGACACCATCCCTCATGTCAATTCTCCTCCTTTAAACCTGTACTCTCCACAAAGGCTTTCTATGGTGTATTGATCTTTGCTGATGTGAACTGAGAATACCGGTTTTATGCAAGAAGCTATCAGGCTCTAACCTATTTATCTACCTAAATATTTATAGTACTGCCAGCATTATGGAGTTTGAGCATTAATTCATTTCAATGACCACCATTCTGAGCTGAGTTCAAACCCAGCAACACCATCAGTCCCAAGCCAGTCATATCTCCACAAAAAAGTCCCTGGTCTTTAGAAAATGTGTATTGTCTCTAGAAAATATTGTCTGGAATAACCTACTCTAAAACAATCTTTGAGGATACCATAGCTCTCTTTTACATCTTAAGATTGCTGGTTTCCTTGCCAGAAACATCAGTTGATTTACTTCAACTACTTTTAGTACAAGTAAGCAAACAAAATTCATACTAGACAAAACTGTGTAAACCACGGGTATTCTGTCTGACAACCAGAACACGGCAGTATCACACAGTCACACAATACACACTTGAATGCCCAGGTATCTGAGAGTGAAGATTAACTGGACATGTGTTCTGCTTTTAAGAATTAGGGTTGCTTTTATCTTTGTCCTAGATTGTCCTTTGTGCCAGATTTCTATATGTGGATCTTTGTATCTAACTTCAACTCTTGCCTTCAAAGATATTATAAACTATATGAAACATAACATCATTCTTCACATGTACATGTAGAACAAATTATATCCATGATTGTATTCATTCATTCATTTCATGGTTCTAGTATTTTTGTTTGCTAAATGTTTGCTAACATTTTTATCTAGGTAAATACATTCGTGTTTCAAGAAAAAACAAAGGAACTCTCATCTACTGTGTCTTCTACCCACACCACTAATTCTCCAGTGGAACTACGTGTGTATAATGGCATATGACTGTTCATATGTGGATTAAAGTGCTGGACCTTAGACCACTTTTCCTTGCCAATGTGCCTTGTCCATGCCACAGATTTTTATCTATTTCCCAAGTCCCTCAGGGAATTAGAAATTAGTAATTTTTGCTTCCTTCCTGGCTATACATTAACACCCTTTCCCCCCAGCTAATGAAGTCAATACACTGAAGAGAAATAGCAGTCAGGATTCTGCAATCCTTAGCAGGGATTTATCTCAGCAGAAAGGAAACCTGCTGGATTTTGAGGTGTTTTACCTGTTTCAGTACACTGAGATTTTGGATACATTGGTAGATTGTGACTAACCACCTGTTGGATCCACATGCTTTAAAGCTGACTGCCAAGAACAGGAGCTATACACAGAATGCCATCAGTGGGGAACAGGTTTTTTTTCAGTAAAAGGCATTTTTCGATACATAAAATGAAATAGAATGAAGCAACAGCAAACACAAATTCACAAAAGCAGTTGGGAAAAGTAGGTTTTCCATGTAGGATTTTGATCATAAGTACAGAGTTACTAAAATTGTCAAATCTCCGTTAGCGACACTGCCCATGTGCTCATGTGAATTGGAGGCTTGCATGCTGCCTTCAGTCTCCACCTAATTAAAGATGTAGTGGGGTTTAATCAAAGGCTAATTGTGTACGTACAGTATTCAAATACCCCATCTGATCTGCTCAGCATACAGATGTCTATCCTGCCGTGTCCTTTCTACACAAGAAGAAACTATTCATAGTATTTCATTTTTGTAAGTAACAGGGCATGGAGGATGACAAACTAACCACTATAACCAAACCTGCGAAACAAAAATTCATAATCAAAGCCCATGTTATCACTAGATGCTTCCTGCAGTCACCGTCAGCAGTTCTGCTGCAAAGCTGAGTATATGGCTTCAACTTGCTCTGCTCTTGTACTGATGCTCGGAAATATGACACACCGTATACGAATTGCTGTTGAGGGGGAGGGAAAGGGAGGACTAAGTTGCTTCTTCTGCAGGTTGTATACGAACCTCCTCCCCCTGCCAGAAAAGGAGAGTATTTCATTATGGTTTATTTTAAAACACCACTTGGATCATTTTACTGAAAACCACTGCACTGGCGTAAATCTCCCTCCACCACCACCCGAGCGCACTCCCCAGGACAGGCTCCAAATCTCACTACAGAGTTAATCAAACTACCCACTTGGGCTGATCAGCTGTTAACAGGACGGAGTCAAGAGTTTAAAGGTCCCTTTGGGCTCCGTTATTTAATGTGTCTTTTGTATTGGCCCCACTACAGGCTATATTGTAGCAGCATTTTGCTCCAGTCACTTGCCAACAGACATTTGCCATGGAGAAGCCCTGAGCAAGCTGGGCTCACATCCGTGTCCACCCTGACACCACCCAGTTAGCAGAGACAATGATCACGGGAAGCAACAAAGGAGCCACAGATAAAACAAAACAAACAATGCGCTGTGCTGGAGACTACAGCCACCCCAGGCAAGTGTGCCAGGGATATTCGCAAGTAAAAGGGAGGGCAGGGAGGAGAAACAGCAAATACAGAAGTATAAAACTTGCATCTAAAGCAGGTTTTGCCTATGCACCCACCCAAGCCTGCATCCGAGGAGCATTTTCTAATGCACTGCCAGGACTGAGAAAGACTGAGAGCAGTGCACATGGGGAGCAGATGAACAGCCCGCGTCCCCTCCCATCTGGAGTCAAATAGTCTCCCAGAGTCACTAGGCAAGAGGAATAATAATAAATTTTATTATTATAGCAATAATAGTAACAGAGAATCACCAACCTTGAGGATCCCAGTTCACCTGTTTTCTTGGAGTCTCGATTGGAAATTTCATCGCTTCCTTTTTGCACAGGGAGGAAAAAATAAATAAATAAATTCCCAACCTTCCTGTCTCAATGCTGCAGTCAAACAAATTAATTTCAAATTATAGGGAGCCTGCGCTGTTTGACTGAGGGGAACTGGTGGTTGCCAAGGAAAGAAATACACAAATAAATCAAGGAAGGTGGAGAGGGGAGGGAAGGGGAGGGCAGTGGAGGGTTCTGTACTGGTGAGGTGAGGAGGGATGCGGGCACTCGGCGGAGAGAGGTGTGGAGATGCAGAGAGGAGCAGGGAGGGTGTGGGGAGCAGCGACAGGGCAGATAGAGATGGGCAGCAGCTCTGGGGCACTGCTGGCTCTGGGGAGGCTCCCAGGGCTCTCTCGCCTGGTCCACCTGCAGATGTGGGGTGGCAGGGGCCGCTGCTGCCCAACGGCTGTGCCCACCTGAGGGGGCAGCGGCGCTGGAGGAGCCCCTGCCGCCCAGCGGGCGCCTCCCACACGCACACGCGCTCTCGGCCACCCCAAAAACGAGCCCACCTCAGCTCAGCCCCAGCACTAGGGGGGCAACAAAAGTCATCCATCCGGGGCGAGCCGCAGCCGCATGGCTGGGAGAGCCTGGGGGCACCCCGGCTGAATGCAGCAGCCGCCTGGCTAGCGAGGAGAAAGAGGAGGAGGAGGAGGAGGGAGCCACCCTACAGCTTTGGAGGGAATTCACTGAGCCCCTCTCTGCACTGGCTTAAAAAGGGGGTGGGGAGAGGAAGGTAGGGAAGAGGCTGCGAGTCCCTTTGTAAGAGGAGGTCTCGCTGGGTGCTCTAGGGAGGGGACGAGAGCGGAGGGAGGAGGCTCCCACTGGTACTTACTGGGTATCCTTCCCTGGAGGAGGATGCAGGCTTGTTTGGCGGAGTTTGCAGCCAGAGACACGCTCAGCCAGCTACTAGCAGCAGCAGCACATGGCAGGAGCACAGCAGCATCCAGAGCCTCCGCAGCACAGGGGGAGGGGAAGGATGGGCAGAGGGATTGGCAAAGCCCACGCAGCGTGGGGCAGCCCTGGAATCGGGCACCCTGTGAGCAAGACTCCTGCCCCTTTTCCCTTCGTGTTCACCTCAAGCCAAATCCAGGCAGAGTCAAGAGACGTGGTCTCCCTGGGGGGAAGGGGCAGGAGGACTAAGAGGGAGGCTCAAGGAGTCTCTGTGCCCTCCTAAGCTTTCAGAGGCTTGGAGGAAATGGAGGACACTTGGCTTCTAGTTTTGGCCATTTTTCAGGTACTCGCTGTTAGCCATCTTCCTCCTCACACTCCCGCTTCAGGTGAGGATGCTTTCTGCTCTCAAGTCCAGAACAGGCTGGTACCGGTACTATGTCGGAAATGTCTCTAGCTCAAGACACAATATTTGCCTCAGGCCCCCTCTCTTAACCAGGAAAACAAAACCCCAGCCCCTCGGGACTGAAAGGAAGAGTATGTGAGGTTAACCCTGTCCTGCCTCCTCGCTTTCACCGTGGAGATGAGCTCACTGCATGAAGGAGAAAATTGCGTGGGATAGTTTGAGGGAGATACCCCAAAATTCACAGGGGTCATGTGTCAGTGACCCATATCAGAGTCAGCCCTGAGATCAGGACCTTCTGAATTTTCAGGAAACTTAATTGTAAGCTAAATCTACTCCCTAAGGAAATTTTCTCCTTCCTTTTGCTCATAATCTATTTTTGCCCAGTTACCCTCTCTATCTGTCTTCCTCTCCCATCTGTTGCTCAGATATTAGTTAACTGTGAGAAAGGGTGAAATCTTCTCTGGTGAAAAACAACGTAGTTTGAAGTGTTTTTGCTCTCCTCGGGAATCTCTTATGTGGAGGTTAGCACACTGTTTTTGTATCCACATTCAGGAGCTAAATAAATGCACAAATTCATGCTTGCCCCAAGTCTTTGTTCAGTCGTAAGCAGGAAGAGCAGATCAATATTAGTGACTCCACTTTTTATACGTTGGTGGTGTGCAATAATATATTTTGAAGGAACTCGAAGGAAGTAGTGCAGCAAGTTTTCTTGGGGGGAGGTGCTGCGTTGCTCTTCTGTCCTTAATCCAAGCACCCCTGTGGCTCTTGTTTTGTGCTGTACAGGAGGAGGCGGGAGAGGCTGCTGTAAGGGAGGACATGGAGAGAATGATAATGAGCCCGCTCAGTCACACGTGAATCTGAGATGAGAGCAGTGATGACACCAGGAGCATAAGGTATTTTCTTTACAAGCAAACCATGATGCATTCTGAAGAGGCTTCGGGATCCCTGTTGACGTTACTTCTGCAAACTGGAAGGAAGCAAAATTTAGTGTAGACTTTGCTAATTGTTCTATGTGATTGCTTGAATCATGATTGGGAAATACTTTCATTATTCTAGCAACCAAGGAAGACTTTAAAAAAGACTTCTCAATCCAAAAAAAGTCACTTGTCAAATGTGCATCAATAAAGGACTGTTTACATGACATATATATATATTTGTATATGTAATGCATAACTTTTTCTCTGCATTCAAAATAATTTTCTGTTTACTGGTATCTTGCTTGTACTTTACTGAGAAAAAAAACAACATATTGTCATATATAATTCAATCACAATGATGACCAGCAACTGATGAGGAGAGTTTCGTGCTGCAGATATCTGTCCACCGGGAACTCACCTGAGATCATCAACCTCAAACAGGCTAAAGAAAGGGCAACAGAATTTCATTTCCACTAACATAAGCAGGAAATAACTATATGGCCTAGAGATGAAATCTTCAGGTAGTTTATTAAGAAGCCTTTGTAAAAAATAGACCCCGATCATTATTGCTTAAAGAAGAATTTTCATGTGGCCATATGAATCTTACTGTTATCAAACTGACCACAGGGAGACAACTCATATTTGTTTGACTTACACTACCATAAAAATACTAGAGCTCATTATAATGACACAGTATTACATTCCTGTCTCTTACATATTCTTATTAATCGCATATCTCCCCAAAGTACCTGTAAGCTCTACACAAACATTTGTCCTGGCTCCAGCTGTATGGTTTAAAAACCTGTGGTAAACGAGTTTTGCTCCTTTAAGAATACTACCAGGTACAGAAACGTAGGATATCAAATAATGTTGCAATTGTTTTGCAGTTTTTTACCATGTTATGATCATGGAAATCTTGCTCAATTATTTCAATGCCTCAGACTTGCTGTTTTTATCCAGTGGGCCAATTTATTCCCAAAGTAACTCATTTAAAACCAATGAGGCTACTCCAGAGATGAATTTGGCACAACGAGTGCATCTCTCCCAGACAGCACAGCTGTTGCATAGAAACGTAACTATTATCTTATGCAAATAAAGGCCTTTCACCCCTCAGTGATGTGGAATTCTCATGATAGGGAGAAATGGTGCCTTTAAGCAATAGTGTTTCAAGCTGTTATTCTGTCAACTTTTATAAGCTAAGTGTACGCAGTAATGTTTAATATTTAAATGGGAGACCACCAAGAAAAAGCATAAATATGACATGATCAATCTAATAAGAATTTTCAGGACTTGACTTCATACTGGTAATTTATCAAACTGATTTACCTAAATTCTTTCTTTTTGTTTATGGCTCATTGTTGAAACTGAGTGGGTTCAGAGTTGGCGTTGGTAGAGAATCAATGCCTGTGACCATCAGAACACAGCAGACAAGAGGCTTTCTATTTGCAAGCCATTTCGTTGACAGAAGACTAAATTGCTAAGTGCTCTTTTATTGTTCATTAGTAATATGACATGAGGGATTCAGAAGCTGTTCTGATGTAACTCAAAGGAAGTCGCAGTAAAAAAAGAATAAATAGAGCCTATACCTACTTAAATTCAATGAACAAGAATGGAAAGAAAAGCACCAACAGCACACAGAAATCACCTGAAACTTTTATGTTCCGTTTCTTGGATGCACTGAAGAAATGACACTTGGTTGGACAGACACCTGTGGCAGCCTTTCTGTCATTGCTTTGAAATACTCATGAATATAATCATGAGTATATGGTTGAATATAAGGTTTTCTGAAAACTGAAAGTTCTCGTTTTCAAGATTATTCTTTATTCAGATTATTGCCACAGACGTGCTCTTATTTACACTCAGACCAGGAAAGCCAGAGGAAACCAAGTGAACTGCATTCTGCTCTTTATATTCTATTGACCCACCCTTCAGTACAATGAATTTGAACAGGATTCAATGTAGAGTCCTTTCATAGCTCTTTACTTTCTAGGAAGCCTTCTGTCTAGGAAGACCTTTTCAAGCCTTCTGTCTAGGTTAGCCTGAAGAACATTCACCTTTGCCAGAACAGTTTTCAGAAACCGTAATCTAACTAGGAATCAAGAGATAAAATACAAATCAGGACTGCTATGTACTGTGCAGGAAAACAACAATCTGCTACTTTTTAATAGTATTATATGGTATGACATTCCTTAGCAGTTGTTAAATGCCTGTATATAAAAAAAAAAAAAAAAAAAAAAAAAAATGGCTCTCCACTCATTTAGGGGCAAATCCAGGGAACAGTAAACATAATTCTTATTGCCAGAAATAATTTCAATGAAATCAGTGAGAATACAACAGCTCAGTAATAGCCATTTCCAGGTTCATTTTCTCAAATCTGACCTTCAACAGCCTGGCTGCAGGATCTTTGCCCAGGAACACTACACAGAGTAGACGGTAGATCCTCCTTTCATGTCTTAACATATTATTCATATTCCCAGCTACACTAGAAGTGATCCTCCCCTAAATGCCAAAACTGGAGAAGGGATACCTGGTTCATAGTCTGTAATCACCTTCTTCATTCTCAATCCTTTCCTGGTAACCATTCTTCCTTAGCAAGACTCAAGCTTTTAGACATTCCCTTTCTTTGCATAGCCAGCAAGGACTCTGGTAGAGTAGGTACCTCACATTTTAAAATCTGCCTGAGGGAAAAAAAAAAAGTATGTGTGTATTATTAGTATAATAGTAATAACATTTTTATAATTAAAAAAAAAACTATCTTGTCAAAGGGCAGTATTAACTCAAGCTGCATAGTATTGAGTCTCTGTCTGAACCCTCTTACATCTGTTTCTCATTAGTTTAATTTAACTTCAGTACAATTACTCCTGAATCATAGTCACAGGAGAATTACAATCTGGCCCTTAGTTTTTCCATGATGTCTCTGAAGAATCCTCATAAGATCAAAGGCTGATATCTGACAAAAATAGCAAGCCTATTAATAAAAACAAGCCTCCAGCTTCATTTTATAGCAGTGCAGTCCTCTTCTCGTGTCATTTTTGTAAGATTTCTCATGAGATAGATATATGATGCTACACCTGAGCAGACTGATAACTGTCCTCTTTATTAAACAGGAAATTTGGGGTTGGCTTCCAGTGATACATGTGTTTCTTTGGCATTCACACCACTGTGAGTGTCAAGAAAGGAGGGGCACACAAAGAAGGCAGCTCAGGCAGTTGGAGGCTTCAGGACCCTGGACAGTCAGAAGCTCCCTAAGAGCCTCGCGCTAGAGCAGGGCAGAGCCGGGAGGCCTTGGGCTCTGCCTGCTGAGTTTACTCTCCTCCGGGCTCTCTGTTCAGATGCAGCATCATCTGCCTGTCTAGAGTGTCTAGGTCTGCCTGCCACTCTCAGTGAATTTAAAATATTGTTATTCTAAAAGATTTAGCTGCAGAGACATTACAAATTGTTACAAATTACTTTTTTTTATGCGTACAAACGTGTTTACAAATCTCATTGGCACCCAAGGGTGTAAGAAGATACAGAGGGAGCTTGTGGGAGGTTGATCATCTGAGAGAAATACAGAATGCAAGAAACCATGAATTGGAGCCTTCTTGGGACATGGACTCTCTGAGTCTCATGTGCTCATGTTACACGTCTCTTATGAGAGTTTAGTCTGCCAAGGCAGTGTTGTATATGATATGGAAACTTTGCAAAATGAAAAAGC